ATATCTTGTACTGTGCAGATATTTGTTCCAATAGTGCAGCATGAACATATGTATGTGATATGTGTTAACATAAAATCCAAACGAATGGACATTTTGGATAATTGGTCTGGAAGAGGGACAATGAAGGGCAGGTATGGACCTATGCCTGATTCAATGGTGAGAATTTTTATATATTATTTGAGATATTGCAAATGGTAGATGATTGCTTTGTATACGTGTGTGATTGGAATCTACAATTTGTGTAGCTGGCTATGCTGATTCAGTATCTAAAGTATAAAAATGCGGAAGCAAAGGCAGTAAACATTGCAAATGTGACACCAAAAAGATTGAACATAACGTGGAAGGATAGCAAGAATGTACATGATTACGGGATTTTCTGCATGCGTCACATGGAAACTTATAAAGGTGATGGATTACAGGGATGGGAGTGTGGCCTGAGGAAAGGTGACAAGAGGTAGATTGCTGCTTTGAGAGTTAAATATGTGTCAGCCATACTGTGCACAGATGCCAATGAGTTGAAATTGCAAAATTTGATCAAAGCAAAGAAGTTTGCAAAGAAAAAGAAAGACCAGAAAAAGGTTGCAAAGATTTGAGAAGAAGGCTTCAAGTAATATGTAAAAGGTGTTGAAGTTAAACAATATTTCATTTTTCGTTGTTTTGAATGACTAAATTTGTGTGGTTGTGGTTCTATTTAAGAACAAACATGGTTTTGTTACATTGTGTTTGGATTACAATTTGTTTGCTATGGTTGATACTTTGTTGGGTATTATACTCACTTTAAACTTATGCTAAAACAAGTTGTTATACTACACAATTTGTTTTAGGTCTTGCACATGTAATACAATAACAAATACTTAGTTTTATGCAACAGGGTGGTTTTATACTGCACAATTAATATTAGTTCGTGCAGTAGTAATAATGATTACTAGTAAATGAGAAATCACACAACCTATTGACACTTCAGAAATAGGAAAGGTTTTTTTACCATGAAGTTGAGATGCTAATTTTTAAATTTCAGTGACAAATTTACAAGGTAGATTACAATGTTGTGATGCGTTTACATTGTGCCCTGCTAATAAGTAATTATAGAAAATTAAATTAAACTAAATCGAAACATATTTTCAAAGTAAAGAAATATCAAAACATGAATCAACAGTTGACATATTTATAAACATCACAAAACACTATCCGAAATTTAGCAAATAAATACAATTGCATCTTCAATTTATTTAAACTTGTTTATTCAAAGGACAATTTCTACTATCATGGTTACACATTTCATTGCATGATCTACACAATCTTTTTGGTCGTTTTCTTTCTTTCATTGACAACTCCTTTGCCTCTTTGATTCTCTTGTCGGATCCCTTATTCTTTGCTTTTTGAGGTGGTAATACTTTGACAACTGAAGGTGCATCAGATCTGTAAAAATATGCAATCAGGCCTTCATTTGTTGTAGGACTAACATCACCTTGATTAGCTAATAAAAGTAGTTCCTTTTGTTGTTTAAGGAATTCTGCAAAACTCTTCATTCTTTCTGTGTGTTTTTCTGCCAAAGCAACACATGTGTGAAAATCAGCCCACAACTCTTTCAATACATTACTAGTTTCTTGAGACCCATTAGATGCATCCACACCCATGTCGGCTATATCAAATAATGGATGTAAGAGCTCCTTTTTACTCCAACATATTGTTCAGGTATACGGTCCAATTTCAGGTCTTTCAAAACGACAAACATGTGCCTACAAACTAAACCCACCCTCAAGAAATGTTTGCAAGTACAATTAACTTCTACATCATTTGCATTCCGTTGCACAGTGAATGTCATGTCACGGTCGTCAGCAATAACATACTCCGATATACCACTTTTTCATGGATGCTAATGACACGACACCCAAAACAAGCTAAAGCAATTTCAGTTTGTACATCATAAAAAATTGATAGGGAGTATACCTCTGAAGCATGTTTTTCAATGAGTAATGGAGTCTTGAAAACAGGGATGTAACATTCTGAATTTGAATTTAGTTTATCTTGATTGTGACGTTGGGCATCCATTGCACTTTCAAATTGCATATAAAATTCAATGAGACTAAAGTGTGGGTTTGAGAATTCCCGAAAAAAGTTATTTTCACTTTCAGAACGTGAAGTAGTTCGGAGCAAATCGGCCATGAAAATATCTCTAAAATAGGAAGGGATCCAGAATTGCCTTAGCTCAAATAATTGAGAAAACCATTCATGATTCATGAGGTCAAAATCTTCCATAACAGATTGCCATTTCAAGATAATGACTCCAAACAACACCATTAAGTCTTGACATGATATGACAACGTTGCTAAGTGCAATTAAGTGGATCACGAAGACTCGTAGAGGATCAAAGATGAAGGCAAAGGCTGCTCGTATTGCTTTTTGTGCGACAGTTTACTACATTTGGCATGTAAGGAACGAAGTTAGATTTGATGATGGCAAGAAGACGGAGGAGGACATTATAGCAAAGATCAAACACGTGGCTTACAAGATACTCTATAGTATCTACCCGCATGAGTTGGTCACCTTTTGACATGGACGCTTTTATGGATTTGTGGATTTGTGTGCGCGCAGTCTTGCAGCACCGATTTGTTTTTGACGTGTTGGGGCATTTAGTATGTATACTTAGCCCCGTCTTGATTTTGATTTTGGATTAGATCGAATAAAAACCTCTCCTAACCCCTACACTAGGTAGGGGTGGGAGGTTTAGGAGATCTAGAACCTTTTGGTGTATTTTCTTGGGTGTTAATATATATTTACATTTCATCCAAAAAAAATGAAATCAACATTCTTACTAAGCACAAGGCCAGCCTTTTTTGTCTCCTTTTCCATTATGTGCCACATGCAATACCGATGTCAAGATTCAGGAAGTACCTTCTCAATAGCTATACGCATCGACGGGTCTTGGTCAGTTATAACGCAAGCCGGTTGACGACCCATAACCGTGATAAAATGAGTCAAAAGCTAAACATGTGAATCTACGTCCTCTTTTAATAATAGACTGGCACCAATGGTAATGCATTTCTTATGGTTGTCTACCCCTGTGAAGGGCACAAAGACCAAATTGTACCTGAAAGGTAATGTAATATGCATTATTTATATATAAAAGTGCAACGTAATCATTATAACGTGCATTAAAGTTGTATACATGTTCGTGCCATATGTGGCATCAAATGACACAACATCACCGAAATAAGAATAATTCTTTCTACATGTTGGATCTGCCCAGAAAATTCTTGTCAATTGATCGCTTTCATCAACATCGTAGTCGAAGAAAAAAGAAGAACACACTTGAACCTTGCAAAATAATTTGTCAATCAACATTTGTGCATCCACGCCTTCAACATAGGCCGTTAGATCTCTTTTGAAGTTTTTAAAACCGACTGTTGTGGCACCAATATGACTATATATGCCCACACTCTTTAAACAACCGGTATGACTTTTTCGGGCCAATATTTGCTTTCGCACAATTCATTACAAATTTCATGTGCCAAAATCAAGACTCTGGTTCACCTTAAGAAATTGCTTATGTATCTCAGAGGACATACGATGGGTATGACGTTCTTCAAACTTGAAGATTGAAAAACAACCATAGCCACTATATTTAAAAACAACGCATGCTCTACAACCCTTTCTGGTAGAAACACGATTTCTTTTCTTTGCACTACTGTCATCAGATTGTTTGTTTGAAGCCTCACCACATAAAGGTTCTTCCATGCATTCATTATATTCAGGATCAATAGCAACACTATTCATTGCATTTGACATATTTGGCTCCGTCGGCAAACTGACTTGTTTAGTAGTATTTTTCTTGGGTTTAAATCATTCACGATTACACACAACGTACTTCAGCATTAGAAAGCCTCTTTTGTCTCTATTCGATGACGAGTATCTAATACTAAATCCGCATAATGATGCATATTGTTTGTAGAATCCAAATCCATCTTCCAAGGATTTGAATCTCATGCCAAGTTGCCAACAACGGGTTTACATTCATTGATGCACTTAGGAATCCAGTATTTAGTCAGGTCAGGAGATACCTCACAATAACTTGATTCACCTACAAATTCATTCACTTAGATACAATAACATACTTAATATAAAGAAGTGCATATTTTTCCCGTGCACCATCAAAAACGATATACATACCCAAATCCATGTCTGTAGCATAGAATCCAGAATGATGAAGAAAATGCTTTATAGGAATTGAATGTCCGTAAATGAAAAAGGTTGAAAAGCATGTTGAATTAGTGGAGAAGAAAATGGGCATGGAGAAGAAAATGGGCGCTTCCTTCTACGTACAAACCGTTACCTATATAATTGCATGCAAAAGAATACTAATATACCCTTCTCATCAAGGCAAATATCATTCTAAATGGGCGAGAGATCGTATCTTGATGAACGGATGTGATTACTTCTCATTTCCTATAATAAGAGGTCTTCTTATTAGAACTCATATATATATATATATATATATATATATATATATATATATATATATATATATATAGAGAGAGAGAGAGAGAGAGAGAGAGATTCATGTCCGGAGTTCCGGATAGGAACCGCCGTCCGGACGGCAGCGTTTCGGCCTCTTCCCGGACTACTTTTTTGAGGAAAATTTTATGACATGTTCTTCATCAAGTCTAGTTTATCCACAAAACAATTCAACCAAAAATTCAACCAGGAAGCCGGTCAAATAATTTTTGGAAGTTAACTGCGTTTTATATGTGTATTTTGGGCGCAGTTATCTTCTAAAAATCACTTCACGGTCTTCCCGATTGAATTTTTAGCTGATCTTTTGTGTGGATAAACTAGTCTTATGAAGAACATGTCATAAAAATTTCACTAAAAAAATCTACCAGGAAAGGCCCCAAATGCCACCGTCCGGACGGCGGTTCCGATCAGAAAGGCCTAACCGGAAGATTACTCTCTCTTTCTCTCTCTCTGGGTGTGGGTGTGGGTGTGGGCTGTTGTGTGTAGGTTGAACAACTATTATTCAAGTATAACACTTTCATTGAAAACATATTCTCAGTCCTCAGATAAATCCTCGCTAAATCAATGGAACCGGACTGTGGGCATTGTAGCCCCCTAATTTACTAGCTTACAAGTTCAATAACGATCAGCATCCCCCAAAGTGTGAAAAATAATTAAAATTTACATACAAGTTTTTGCAAAATAAGAAAGTTGAAGTGTCGAGTACTACTGGAATTTGTGCAATTCAAGATCTGTACAAATAACCCCATATTTTCCTGCAAGTCCAAAGTCCATTTTGGGCCATAAAAGATAAAGGTACTTTCAGTTCACGTCTGGTTGCTGAAATGGAACACGTACAAATAACTGTCCGTGCAGGGTGACAACAGCAGATGTCTGATGAGGATCGATTCTTGAAGGCAAGGTGACTACCTGGAATTAATAATTTTGGTAAGCCAGATTTCCACGAATATATATAGCCCTATTCTTCTTCAATCATAGGACTGTAGGTCATTGAGAATATAAACTGTGAACTCATAAGCAAAAATTGTTGAATAGTTTCTCACATTAGGGCTATACAACAAAAACCAATACATAACATTTGGGCTACTCCTATGACGTTGACATCTTAAGATGAAAGATCAAGTTTTATTATTGTATCAAAGCCACATTGATTTGTAGCCATGATGTGGGTACCCATGAATAGTGAAAACAATTGCCCATGTGGGACAATGAAGGATGTGCGCCCCCACTAAAGGTGTTGACGAGTTTGTTTCAGATCGGCTGAATATGAAATAGTTAACCAACACTTGAGACCAAAGCATTAAAAAGAAACCTTTTTGAATGGAGTGACACCCCAGGGATTATCCAATTCTTCTGGCTGGCCGGATATAACCAAACATCCCGCGGGATCAGACTGCACACGCACCTGATATATTTTGGTAAAAGAAAGATTAATGATAAATAATACAGCAAACCTTTTCTCGCAGCTGATCAAACTTTTCTCTCACTACAGAGTAATCAAGGAGTGTAGATCTTCTTTAGAAGTCATAAATGTGGAGCATTTATATTATTTTGAATCTTTTATAAAAGATCAATCCCAGAGCACAAATCCCCTCATTAGATTAGAATAAAAGGATTTAGCAAGGATTATTGACAATTACGAGGTTATATATTTATATTTTTACCTTAGAAACATAAACCAAGTAACCAACAATATAAAAGGTAAAACTTTAATTACAATTATTGACTTGTTATCATGGTTACTAGTGAATATAGAAAAGGTTTGTAGTTATTCACTGTTTCCAAATACAAGCACTTTCATGTAAGTAATAAGAAAAGCAATAATATGTATTCTGAATACAAAGTTTCTAGATTTACCTCCTCACGTAAAAGGCCTGGTACTAAAGCATATACTTCGAAGCAGTCATTCTGTGCACATGTTTTCAGACATCAAGTTTAATGCAAGAAAAAGCAAAAACAGAAGCATATGCTGATATATATATATATATATATATATATATATATATATATATATATATATTTCCATCATTTGCAATGGAGCCAAAGATTCATTATTTTTTGGCTTGAGATTATGATGGAATAAAGCAAAATGGCTCACTAAACTGTCTGCGCTTCTTTGTTATGGAGCAGCAATCAGTCCATGCAATTTTGGACGCGATTTTCACTATGGGTCATCCGGAAACAGTCTTTGTGCTTTAGTACAGGGGTAAGACTGCGTACATCCGACCCCCCCCCTTACCCCACCGTAGGTGGGAGCCTTTGCGGCACTGGGGTAAATGAAAATGAATGAAATGATATATATAAGTGGTGCATAAAGAGCATACAGTTCTTTGTACATTAATCTTCACCCAATCAGCAGGAGTTCCGATATCAGTGATCATTGAATCTGAGCTGCAAGCATGAACTGGAACTTACTAATTGAAGCAAATATAAATCATACACAACTGGTAAACAGTAAAAGCGGTAACTGACTGCTGAATAAGGAAACGTTGACAGCAATAACTTTTAGACTCTTTACCAATATCTAATCCAATATTTGGAGGACAGTTTATTCATTATATATGCATAAAATGTACCCAATGAAATTTTCATTTAAAATTTATCTGTTCATTTACCAGGAAACACACGTTTCAGTTATTGTGTAGAGATCAATATGAGCACTAAAGCATCATAAAATCAGTTAATTGGACTTGGACAGACGGATTCTGCAAGACATTAGTCACACAGGGTGTCTTGGATAAAATAGTTGAAAAGAGACCAAATTAAATTTCTACTAGTATATATTAACATGTAAAGTAGTTCCCTTGACAATGATCAAATCATCAAGCGATCAACGAATAGTTAATCCATAAAGATCTTAACTGAGTTTTTGGTATTTTCATGGGTGTGACTTTGGCAACATCATCGACAGGTGACAGCTTTTTGCGCTTTAGCAAGCCTAGACAAGAATAAAATTACAAAAATAAGTATAAATGAACCATGAAAATAGGAGAAATAGGAAATCAAATTTAAGTTTTCATTAAAAGTACCAATACTCTTGAGTTGTTTCTCTCGTTTTGGGGTTGGGGTTGATGTCTTTTCCTAGAGAGTTAGAAAATAAGGGAAATACATAAAGGAGTCATGCTTTTACCACAAATTTTGAAAAGAATGTAGAGATAAATAGACTTGAGTACATTAACTGAAAAATGCTTTCACAGACCTTAACTATGGGATCTCCAACCTCACCATTTCCAAGAAGACGTTGAGAATGCCAACCTTGCATAGCACGTGCTGCAGCATCTCTTCTTGCTCTACCTGACCCCGGTGTCTGATTACCCTGCGAATGGAGTCTAGCTTTATATAAAATGAAAAATAAAAATCCTCACATCTTTATGACACAAAAAGTCAAAAACTACAACGATGAAAGATGCTTTGCCTTTTCCTCCATCTTTTTTAGGGCGCACATAAAATAAAAAAATGCCATTGCAATATCAGAAATTTAAGGTATAAAAAGCGAGACCCTGCACCGCTACCAAATTGTAGTTTATTCAAGTAAATAATTACATATCCATATTGTAAGTCTTATCTGGATAAACTGAGAATAACACATTATAGGCTCGAAGATTGCTACACCAGTAAAATCATCTTCTTATCCAATTGAATTATGTCAAATATTAAACCCATTACAGGGGTACGACTGCGTACATCCAACCCCTCCTTACCCCACTGTAGGTGGGAGCCTTTGCGGCACTGGGGTAATGATGATGATGATGATTAAACCCATTAAAACTTTGCTATCTTTAAAACTTTGACCAACTATATATTTTTATTGGAAATTATTTATGTAGTACGACCTCCGTCCCCCTAAGGTTGGGACAAAGGAGAGGTACAGTTTTAAGAAAAGTAAAGTTATGTGATTGATAAAGTGGGAATAAAGTAAGAATGAATTAGAGTCATACAAATATTACCAAATATGGTATGGGACAAATTTAGTGGGAGACGGAAAAGGAAAAATGGGACAATTATAGTGGGACAGATGGAGTATAATATAAATATGATATGAAAATGTTCTTTGTTGAAAGTACTTTCATAAAAGTATAAAATTTATAATTTCCATTATACTATACTAAACAAAATCATGGTCCAAACTTTACTAGATGTCTAGATGGCAAAGTTTTAAGGGATGGAGGTAGTATGACTTAACTAAGTCGATACTCTTACCAGAAATTAGGTGAAACCACATAACACAAAATGTTCTCTTGGTCTACATTTTCTTTTACCCCTGATAAAATATTTACATTGATCCCGTGTTTGTAATAGCTTAACCATTCATCATACAAATAGAAACTGAAGATACTAATATTTCATCTGTTTCATGTATTGTTGAGAGAACTATGAAAGACAGCATAAAATGGAATGAAAATGGGACAAAGCTTTTCTTCATCTTCAGTGAGAAGAAAGGGGGTACAAACCGAACAATCACAATTGGATGGTCAAAAGTTTACTAAACTGCCACTAAATTTGTGATCTTCTGAATCACAAACCCTTCAAACATACTCCCTCCGTCCTGTGGAGTTTTCCATGTTTGACCAGCACGTGGAATAAAATGAAAGTCGCAAAGTCTTTCGGACAATCAAAAAAGGAAAAGGGCAAAGTCTTTAGGAGTTGGGACAATAAAAAAATTGGCAAAGTCTGGTGGGACGGAGATAGTATAATATTTTGTACTGCCAAATATCATTTTAAAATAAAAACAACCACTTTCATCGATATAACAAAACCAAACTGCCTAGTACTCATGGAATAACAAATAAGTTAATGACCTGTAAACCTTAATAAATTAACGCCCGAACCAACACCTGCAATTCTTCATTGATGAAAACTACAACTACAACACCTGCAATTCTTCGTTAATGACTCTGTGGATGGCTTCAACAGAGTGACAGACCTATCTCAATAAATAGGTCTGTAGCTTTACCTGGTTACCAGTAGTAGATGGCACTGAGAAAGATGCATCAGCAAAAGGAAGCTCACCACTTTGCATCTTGTGTTTTTCATATTCCAAAAGTGCCTGCAAATGTGCAAAACAGACCACAGAAAAAATATAGTAAACTACTAAAAGACAAAACAGAACTGCAATAAACTAAAAACAAAAGTTGTGAAGAAAGTATATATTTTTAATTTTCAGAACTGCTATATCGAAGTATATATTTTCAAATGCAAAACGAGTTAAGACTTTCATCTGTCTGCGCTTCTTTGTAATGATGCAGCAGTCAGTCCATGCAATTTTCGACGGGATTTTCACAATGGGTCATCCGGAAACAGTCTCTTTGTGCTTTAGTACAACTGTATAAGGGTAAGATTGTGTACATCCGAACCCCCTTACCCCACCGAAGATGAGAGCTTTTGCGGCATTGGGGTAATGATGATGATGATGATGCAAAACGACTTAAGACTTAAAAGCACCTTTTAGACATTGATAAAAATAATATAATGAGACTGAAGTTAATTTCAATAAGAACTTGGAAGCAATGAAGCACAAATAATCAAATATGACCATAACCTTCTCATAGAAACACCGAAATGTCCAAGAGACCGTAGTGCACGTCCTGCGGAATAAAAACGTAAATGTGCAATGAATGAAAATAAAGTGTAGATGGCATACATATATAATGAGGGATTAGGGCTAGTAGACTCGATAGTGTGCGCAAATTGTTTCTTCCGATCCAAACCCAGGTGACCTGAGTCTCATTTATTTGACTAATCCTAGACCCTAGTCAATCAGGTCTAGATATTTAATATAAGGGTGAGATTACAATCCAACTAGGTATGAAGGAAAAGCGTAATGCCAAGGTCTGGGGCAACAGTGGAATATGGGTAGCAAAAGAATCTGTATCTCCACCATTGAAAGATAAATTTTGATCCATCCATTTTAAGAATAATGATGATTGATGATGGAAGAATTGGATACAAATGGATAGATTGTCCATTTTTATTTTTCATCAATTGATTTGCATTCAGAAAATTTCACACCCACACACACCCGCACGCCCGCACGTGTGCACACAAATATATACATACATATGTGATATCATAGTTTAGATGAAAAGATTCATGATATTGTCCCATGTTTTTAGGTCTAAACAAAGCATTATTAAATTAATTGAATAATCGGTTACATAAAAATTACATATACACCTTACTTTGGAGGCTTAAATGATTCTCCTACTTGCCGCCATAACTTGCATGATGTCACCTGAAAGTCAGGAGAAATGCATCTAATAAATTCTACTTATCTAAAATTTATTGGCCATAAATTTCATTTTCAATTGCCAAACTAATAACAATGGGTATAGAAGGATAGTTAGGCACTTAGGCACGGGTGAAATCATTGTGGCAAGAAGAGAGTAGGGTTATGAGAAGAGAGTAACAAAAATGGATACGGAAACATGGATCTGAGAATCTGAGATACAAACAACTTTATCTTTTAAGTAATGGGGCACCTACTGTGGAGAATTGAGTGGAACTATTATACTCATTTATACTTGTGCACTTTATGGATGCACATATTACCAGCAGTAGTAGCACAGTATTATGGAAATGATAGGAAATGGAAGATGTAAACCAAAACTTTTATGGAACATATCACATCAATTAAGGGTTTGAGGTTACCTTGGATGAGCTGCTGATGAGCATCAAACTCATGGTTGTGAGGAATAGTTAAATAGTTAAATCAAGGACAAAACTACTGTATACCTAGGCTGCAGGTCCTACACGTATATGATAATTCAGTGTCTAGTTTTAAGAGGTGAAATGTCTAAAAGCTCTCACTTCCTACTCGTGATAAAAAGATAATGTAGTAAGATATTAATCTAACCAAACATTGAAACAAACCTGTTCATAGCCACCAAGTCTGATCACTGCTCTCCACAGCCTTATTCACGTGATAGAGAATATCAGTTCAAATATAAGAAACTTGTCCAAGCAACAAAAGAAAACTAAAATTGGAGCCACTAACTTTAGGCAATTCAACGGCTCTCCATAGAACCGTGGGGGCTTGAAATCCAAGCACCTTTCTTTATGGAAGACTTCCAGTTCTTTCATGAATTCTGCTTGCTCTTCCTCTGTTCCAGACTCATCTACACCCACAGCATTTGAATCCAACAGGAATGACTTGGGAGGATGGTTTGCATTAAAATCATGGTGAACATCCAACTCTGGCTTCAACAATCCTGCATTCACCTGATTAGTTGGTAGCACCTCTTTGCCAGTTAGTGCATCAGCAAATTCCTGCTTTGTGTCTTTAGTAAGCAACAACTCTCTTTTGCTGTTTACTAATGACTCGACAGTGTTTGTTTCATTTTTCACTGGCTCTGTGCTGCCATCTACAGTAGATATCTCCTCTGGAACCGGGCTATCCAACGGCTCTCCATTGGTTCTGGTTCCAGCAGACATTTCCATTCCGGACACCGAATTTTTCAAATCTTCAGAAGAGCTGTCTCTCACAACATTGTCAGGTTGATCACAGGAATCAAAATCAGTTGTGCAAACCTCGCTTGTTGGAACCTCATGAGTATTAGCATCAGAATGCAAAATTTCCAGTTTTTCTCTTTCCATACAACTGTGTGCATGCTCAAATGAGGGGATTGTGCTGTTGACAGATTCATGAGCATCTATGTGAGACAAAGCATTACTGTCTACTCCAATATTGTTAATGACAATTTCCTGCTTTGTTGCATCACTTTCAATCATAGATTCATGGTTAGCATTTACAGCATCAGTAGCATCTTCTTGTTTATCCACTGCCCTACTGCCCTCTTCATCAACCATGATTCTTTTCAAACACCAAGAACAACTCCTTGTCCAATTTTATATGATTTCCCCCCCGAAAACCCCTTAGTGCCTGTAACAAATGCAGCATTAATCAAAGGTCCATAAGTTGAAAAGCTGGTCATCATAACCTTAAAATCCAAACAGAATTTACAGCACTTTCTTTTTTATAAGCTCAATTCAGTCCCTGTACTAAAAAAAGGTTCAATTCACACCCCGAACCAACAAAAAATGGTTCAAATTTCATTTTTTACGGGTAAACAACCGGTTATTTTTTTAATTTTTTAATTGTTTCTGTTTTTTATTTTCGATTTATTGCAATTTTGACACTTTTTAATAGTTTAGGGGTGCGAATTGGACCTTTATTACCGGTTCCTTAACCTTACAAAATGAAATTAGAACCCTTTTTGCCGATTCGGGGTGTGAATTGGACCTTCTTTTAGTTTAGGGACTGAATTGAGCTTACGGGACCGGTTCGGGGGCCTATTTGACCCTTTAGCCTTTATAAAACTACGGAGTATTAAACTGACAGAAAATGCTTGACATACGAAATTTATGTGGACCAATGGTTGACCCAATTAACTGAAATAAACTTACCTACTTTAGCAAACATCCACACAAAAAAACAAGTGAGATTTTTTTGTGAAAAAAATTGAGTGCACAGCAAAAAATGTAATCGTCCACATAAGAGGTAGGCTTTTAGATAGTTGAAGCATGACAGCAGCCTGCTACCATCTATAAATCCATAATGCAAATAATCAAATATTACAATTACAATACAACAACAACCCAAACAAAAAAGTGCATTTTTTCAAATATTTCAATAACAAAGAGTGTTGTTAAAGAGCGGCACATGGTGGAATGGTGTGGTGTAACTCAGGCCATCAACCATAATCCCATTGTGACAAGGATGAAACAGGTTAGAGCTTGTTAGCATCCATAGATCATTAGTCCAAATAAAAATAATCCCAATACAACAGCGACACCAAATGATCAATTGGTCCATGGATTTTTTCAACGTTTGAAGGTTAAACTGAATATAATTCAATCTTGTGACTATCTGATTAAAGTCAGAAGCATTACCTTATCATGCAACACCTTGAAGCATTAATTACAAAGCAGGCTCCTTTGCATTTAATGATGAACCTAAAAGAAAAAATTATCAGGACTTATAGTGACACACATTCAAGGAGTCATTCTAGCACAAAAGACTTCGACTCATTCTAACAGTTAGAGATCTACTAACGGAGTCAAGGAAACATCCCCCTACTAAAAACAGGCTGAGGTGGAAACATAGATTTAGGATAAACCATCAAAGGGAAGGAATCAAGTGATAAGAACATGGGAACTCCACATAGCTCGAGTGTTTGCGTTTTGAAAACTCAGGAAGTGTCAGAAACACGAAAACCTTAAATTCCAGTATTTGTGCTATTTCTGTAATTAGAAAAAGGGAAGGGGGCCAATTAACCCCTCCTAATATATTAAATCCATCATCTAGGCACATATACTTTAAAAAGCGTCAAATAAATCTGTCTACGCATAAAACACAATCATTTTAGCCGAATGACCTGAAGATGGCCTCATTATATAGCATTTATTTTTCATTTTCCTTTCATCTTTCTTTAACTTTCTTTTTATTTTCTTCTTTTCTCTTTTTCTTCATATCTAAGTTCACCTTCTATCCTGAATTCTACCTCTCGGTCTTTCTTCTTGCTTTTTATTTTTTCCTTTTCTTCACTCTTTGTTTTTCTATTCATGTTTTACCATTTTCTCTTCCTTTATCTTTCCTTTTTTGCTTTCTCCTTTTTCTTCTGCTCTTTTACTACCCCTTCTTCATATACAATCGTTTCCCTATATATCTTCTTCTACTTTAAAAATCAAAGCCGAAACTTCTTCAGTTCTTCTACTATTAGAGATAACAGATTTTATTTCTTGCATGTCTCCATTTTTGATGCCTTTGGTTTTCTTATACCAACTAAAAAACTTAAAGATCGGATCATAGGATATGTGATGTTTTTGAGCAGTACTCTGTTTGAGTAATGATGATAAGGAAAATAATAGTATTGATGAGAATTTATACCCTGCTTGATAAGAAATATGTAGTACGGAGTAGTTGATAAGAAAACAAACATCAGTACTCTGTTTTTTAAGAATGTATTTAAATAGAAAACTGATTCTAGCTGTAAAACATATTCTGAGGACTGCCTAGCAGCATGATAAGGAAAAACATTAACAATACTTTCAACCGGAAATCAAAGTTTGGACGAAACAAACTTCAATTAAAAATCAAACTTCAAAGAAGATAAATTCATAGACTCCTTCCGTATAAAACAATTCTCAAGCAAGAAACCATAACAGGAATTCTCAAATCAGCATTCTGGAACAAATTTTAAAATTCAACAAAACAATTCCGAAAAGTGACGCGAAATTAATGAACCAAATGCAAACTAACCAAAGACTGCAGACGGTTCTTAGCTGAATGAGGTTTGTCAGTACTCTCCTGCGCGTGAATGGGCTAAAATTCGTCGTGCCTGAAGGCGCAAACGCATTTACCTGATTCACTAGACGATACTCAGATCTCTGCAGCTGCGAGGGAGGACAGTTACTCTGATAAATCGTTACGATTTTTTGGCAAAAAAGAAAGAAGGGCAGTGTTGAGGAACAAGCTGTCCTCGAAATTACATGAAAAAAAGTGAAATAAGTCTTTACTACCCGAACATCCCGAGGTTTCGGGTGGATTTTTTTTATAAATTTTTTGAGATGTTATTCATTAAGTCTAGTTTAATCATATCAAATTTTAGTTAAAACTTTAATCGGGAAGACATTCAAATGAATTCTTGAAGGTAATTGCGCAGTTATCTTCAAAACTTCATTTGAATGCCTTTACGATTGAAGTTTTAGCTGAAATTTGATATGAGTAAACTAGACTTAATGAATATTCGAATGACGATGACCGAACAGATTCTCCTATATAAGGACTTATTTAAGAACTAGACACGCAGAGAGAATGTGCGGGTGAACGCCAGCTTTAGCCGGTGTTTGGTTAAGGAGGGAGTGAAAGCATCAAAGTTTAAGAGGCTTGGACCAGTTTTTACATAGGATATACCGGAGTACTATTTATATTTCATTGTTTTATTAAAGTGGCTTATGTTTGAACTTCATTATCACAAGAGCAGCGTCCACGCGATGCCGTTAATAGTAACTCCGAATTGTAAAAGTGTTCGGAAAAGAATTAAAAGAAAAATATCAGAATATGCACTTCATCAAGATGACCTCCAAATGATCTTCGTCTTTTGGATTTTTTGGATCTGGTTGATTATTTTTAAAACCGAAATTGACACCAATAATCCATATTTTTACACATTTTACAAAAATGACCCCTACTTAAAAAGTTCACAACAATAATCTCAACTAGTTAACTGTTTTACAAAAATAAACCGAGTGCTAACGATGTTAAGTTTTTCATTTTTTAAATATATTGAAGTGAAAATATATATAAATATTGGCAATATTATATTTAAGTTTAATCTTGTTTCTACAAAAAAATTAATATAAGATTAAACATTTTTCATAAAACATAATAGATACTCCCTCCGTCCCCCTAATATTGGTACGGAAGGGAGTGATGTGGTTTTTAAGAAAAGTAGAATTATGTGGTTGGTAATGAGTTGATAAAGTGGAAATAAACTAAGAATGAATTAGAACCACATAAATGTTACCAAATATGATATGGGACAATAATAAAGGGGCATCCAAAAATGTAAAAATGGGACAATTATAGGGGGACAGATGGAGTATATTAAAACACTATATAATACATACTCTTCAAATCCTTCTTCCTCTTTTATTCCTTAACAATAATTTATTTATATTCATTTTATTCATTATAATAGATATTTCAAATTAGTTTTAGTAATACTACATTAAATATTAACACAAATTATGTAGAGTATTGAATATTTAATATGCATGTTTCTATGATAATTTATGAAAAATATTAAACATTAAATTAAATTTATCGTAGAAAAAGATAAAACTCAAATATAATAATATTATTAATTATTATACATATATTTCATTTGATACATTCAAAATTCAAAAAAAAATAACGAAAAAGTTAACATCGACAGCAGTTGGATTATTTTTGTGAAACATTTAACTAGTAGCGATTACATTTGTGAAATTTATCAGTAGGGATTATTTTTGTGAAATGTGTAAAAATATGGATTATTGATGTCAATTTCGCCTTTTTGAAAAATGAATTCGCTAATATCACTTTGTCGGTGGGCTTTCAGGTTACAAGGGTGGCTCGAAACAAAAGCGAAAGATGACCTAGCGGTCGTCTTGTTGAGGTGCATCTTTCGGTATTTTTCTTTTAATTTTTCGAGCACTTTTGAAAATCATTGTTAGTGTTCATCGTCTTTCTCCGGCGATTTCTAACTGCGTCAGGCGCCAGACCCTGTTGTGATAACAAAATTCAAACACATGAACCACATTGATAAAAAATGAAACACATGACCCAATCTGAAAATGGACCCAATCACAGGTACTTTTTCACCCTTGTGTTGCACGGAATCTAAATCTAAATAAATTTTATATTATATTTGGAGTTTTTTCTCAGAATAATGCTAATTAAATAAATAAATCTCAAAATATTGTCGGGTTAAAAATAATTCTCATAGTCTTGTGGACTTTGAATTTTTCACGAGTACACATATAGAGGTGTAGGTGGTTGACGGCTTTGGAGTATGCTGGTACCCGTTTCGGCTAGAATTCAAAATTCAGTCAAAATTTGGTACACTTAAGAATTCAGTCCTGAGTAGAAATGTCAGGTGTTTACGTCTTCGCGGTGCCACTGCTGGCCAAGGTCTGGCTTGTGGCCGACGAGGGTGCTGGATAAGGAATAGCTTGTCCAAGGAGATGGTCCTGTATTCGTCGGCTAGCTATGGTTCCAGTGCCCGCGTCGGCCGTCCGAGGTGTTGTGGCAAGTAGAGGTTGTTTCTTGATTACTTGATCCTTTCGCGGGTGTGATAAGTGCCCGCTTCGTCCTGGTTAGCCTCAGGAATGCGATGCTGTTTTATACCGAACGTTGGTGCCTCAAAGGTCCATGGCCGATGAAGGTCACCTCTCGCGTGTCACCCAACCGATGTGGTTAGGGTTTTTAAAGGCGTGTGTATCGGCCTTGATTGTTCCGTTGTAGTGTGTGGACGTGTCGTCCATGTTGCCTGTCAGTGGTACTACACGTGTTTAACTGATATGTACTTGGCCGAAATGGGCCTGAATTGTGGGGATTTTATTTTTTCATTGCTCGAGGCCGGCAAGTGTGCGCGACCGTCGGCTTCCCTCTTTTTCCCTCCTGTATATTTCTTTTTTTTTTTGTTTCGGGGGGTATCCTTCTTTCAGGCTTCGGCCGAAGGGTGTGCTCGTCCTTCGGCCGGTTCGGACTTCGTTTATAACGTCCGTGGTCTCAGGGCGGGTCCCGTCGCCTATTTATGACGCGGGCTAGACTTTTGGTCGGTTTCCAACGGCTGTCGTTGCCCATCCCTGAGTTTTGGGATTTTGTCACCTCGGCCATGATTTCAGGCCTGTCGTCCTGCGATCTGGCGCGTGGACGACGCGGTGAGCTTCCCGTTTCAAAACGTGGGCCGTTTGCGGGCCCCTCGTCCTGGGGACATCGTCGGCCATACCTGAGTGTTTCACTTCTAGGCTTACGGGGCCAGGACGATGTGCTCTCTCAGCTAGGCCTGGGCCCTTCGCTGATACAAAGTACAATGGAGTGCCTGAGCTTGTCGCTCGTAGGCTGCAAATGCAAGGGGCCATGTCGGCCAGACCTGAGCCTTTCGCTCTAAGGTGGCCGACGAGGGCACCTGCTAATGTTTTTACTTTAAATTCCAGAGAAAAAATCAGAACATGATTTTATTCATAAGTGGCTCGAGGCCGAGGGTGGCGTTCAATCAGTAACCCGTTAAGGGGTGAGGGCTTCGCCGTCTACACCTCCTTCGGATTACTGATAAAACTTCACCAGATGATGTACATTCCATGTTCGTGGTACATTGGACCCATTCGGTCGTTTAAGTTTGTAGGTGCCGGGTTTGACCACGGCACTGACGATGTAGGGCCCTTCGTACTTCAATGCTAGCTTGCCACCCTCTGTCGGCTGGCTTGCTTCCCTTCGGCGGAGGACGTAGTCCCCCACCTGAAATTCCCGGGAACGTACCTTGGCGTCATAGTATGATTTCACTTGACGCCGGTAGTTCTCTGCTCGGACGTAAGCTTGCTCACGCCTCTCATCAACCAGGTGTAGGTCAATCTTCATGTTCTCTTCGTTGGTGTCAGGCTCATATTGCTCCACTCGCCGGCTGGGGATGGCTATCTCCGTGGGCGCCTTCGCCTCAAAGCCGTAGCATAGGGCGAAAGGTGTTTCGCCTGTCGCCCTCCTCGGCGTGGTTCTGTAGCACCACAGGATGTTGGGGAGCTCGTCGACCCAACTACCTCCGGCGGCCTGGAGGTTCTTCTTCAGCCCCTCCATTATTGTTCTGTTGGCGTTCTCGACCTGCCCGTTGCCCTGAGGATAGGCAACGGAGGAGAAGCGGTGCCTCACCCCAAACTCCCGGAGGAGCTCCTGGAAAGGGGCTGCCTCGAATTGGGTGCCGTTGTCTGATATAATCTCCTGGGGGACGCCAAAGCGTGTAATGATGTTCTTGTAAACAAATCTTTGGCATCTGGCCCCCGTGATGCTGGCCAAGGGTTCCGCCTCGACCCACTTGGTGAAGTAGTCGACGGCGACGATGATGTAGCGGTTATTCCCGGCGGCTCTGGGCAGGGGGCCGACCAGGTCAATCCCCCATCTGGAGAATGGAATTGCGGTGCTGACAGGGGCATAATTGACAGCTGGCCGACCAGGGGCCTTCTGGAGTACCTGGCATGTGGTGCATTTCCTGGCCAGGTCAGCGCAGTCGCGTGCCATCGTCGGCCAGAAAAAGCCCTGGACGACGAGACGCCGGGACATGCTGAAAGGGCCCTGGTGCGAGGAGCAGACGCCGCAATGTACTTCTTCCATGGCTGTGTCGGCCTCGTCCTGGTGCAGGCACCGTAGGAGAGTGCCATTATAGGACCGTTTGTAGAGTTTGCCATCTTCGATGGTGTAGCTTGGGGCCCTGAGTTTGGCGAGTTTGGCCCTCTCCTCGTTCGGGGGCAACTCCCCCGTTGTGATGAAGGTGGCTATGTCGGAGATCCAGTCCTCTGGTCGCTGGTGGACGCACAAGACGGGGCTGGCATGGATACTGGACATGCTCAACTCCTCGATCTTGGCCAACTGGGAGATGTGCTCCGGGGTGTCCGAGCTGAGCTTGGAGAGGATGTCGGCTTCGGCGTTCTCGGCCCTTGGGATCTGAGTGATCTCATGGGTTTCAAACGCTTTCAGCAATTCCTCCGTCGCTTGTTTGTACTGCTTCATTCGGCCTTCCTTTGCTTCGTACGATCCCTCCACCTGGCCCACTACCAGTTTGGAATCGCACTTGATTCTGAGGTGCTTGTCCTTGAGGCCGGCGGTGAGTCTGAGACCGCTGAGGAGGGCCTCATACTCGGCTTCGTTGTTGGACACCCTGAAGTTGAAGCGGATGGCATAGTAGGCTCTGAATCCTTCAGGGGATATGAGGACGCCGCCGCCGCCGCATGATTTCGCGGCCGACGAGCCGTCAGTGAACAG